AAGCTCATGATGGAGTCAGACACAATATTCATTCTGTTTCCACTGCAGCATGACTTTATATTCTATACTGGACATTATTCTGTTAAGTGACAAGACTTTTGTCTAAGTAAAGTCAGACCTTACTGTACTAATGAAATAATTCAAAATCAAGGCATGATCATATTTTATTTTGGTAAATAAGTTTAATCTAGAGGCCTTTACCTTTTATATAAACCACTTCTGATACCGAATGATCAACTTAAAGGTTTCATTTTGTATTTCACATTTTCTGTTATTTTACAGACTTATTTCTTTATATATTATTCAGTGTCTCCCACAGGTTTGAAATATAGTCACGGTGGTAGCCGGATTGAAACACACCTTTTACCCACAGCACATAAATGGTTGACTACACGCGGCAAAAAAAACAATAATGTGATTTTTAACTATATTTCTATTTTTTATGACACTGTTAAACACTGTTGCTTTTCAATGGGTTAAATTATTAAAAAATCAAATAATTTATTTAATAGAAATAAACGTTTTTACTTTCTTTTATGCTATTTAGGAGCTATGTGCGCCCACTGACAGGTAAAGGCTGCTCTCTCTCTCTCTTTCTCTCTTTTCTCACATTTTAGGCGCTTTATTGGCATGACAAATAACTGTATATTTGAATTGCCAAAGCAGTGCAGCGTTGCTGCGTACAGACAAGACAGTGCAAAAAGGGCAGTAGTGCAAAGAAATATGAACATAAAATATAGTATAGAAATAAAGAAAAGAAAATTAGATTCATAAAAATAGATTATTTAGATAGAGAAATAGAAATAAAATAGAGATATAGAATATCTCTCTCTCTCTCTCTTCAAGTTGCCTTATTGGCATAACATTCAGTACTACCAAAGCACTTCAAGTATGTAGTATATTAAAATCATCAAATAATAATAATAAAAAATATATATACAGTAAGACATAAATGAAAAAACAAACAAAGAAACAAACAGATAATATATTTGATAAATATAACAATTCTAATAATAAAAAGTCTAGATTATTTAAATAAGATACATGAATTTACATGAACCATTTCTTATGGTGTGTAGGGTGTATACATATTTTGCAGCTAGTCTGTACGTCAATTCTCTCTCTCTCTCTCTCTCTCTCTCTCTCTCTCTCTCTCTCTCTCTCTCTCTCAATTAAATTCAATAATTGCTTTATTGGCATAACAATTGTTACAAATGTATTGCCAAAGCAGTTATAAAGTTTACATAAAAAGTAACATACATATTCAATTAAAAAAACAGTACACACAGTAAATAGTAGTAGTAAAAATGATATGATGATAGATGATATTTATATATAATAATTAAATAAAATATCAACAATACATCATATTATTCAATATGTCACATCAATATTCAATATATTACACACACTCTCTCTCTCTCTCTCTCTCTCTCTCTCTCTCTCTTAAGTTGCTTCATTGGCATGACACAGTATTGCCAAAGCAATTTAAAAATGTAAAGTATGTAATATATTAACATCATTAAATTATTAAAATATAGTGCAAATGAGAAATAAATAAAAGAAAAAAGGGAATAAAAATAGATATTATTGCTAAAAATTATAATAGTTACTAGAATAAAAAAGTATAGATTATATAAATAAGGCAAATAAGTTGATTAGACATTTCTAATGGTGGACAAATATTTAGCAGCCAGTTTTTTTTTTCTCTCTCTGAGTCATTTGTCAATGATAAATTATGTTTCTCTTGCTGCTGTGAGTACAGTCAGCTGTGAAAAGGGAATGCAAAAATGCATACAAATAGTAGCAATTTTAGAAAGCGAATCCCGGACATTTTAAGAGATTCAGAAACTGCGGTCAAATGCATTCTAGCACAAAAGATGCATCTCTGTGTGTCTGCAGAGCACGTGACTGTGGGAGTGTTGACAGTTTTCGAGCGCACACAGAACCAGCAGAAGGAAATGTGCAGAGCAAGAGAAGATGTTCCACTGGTTAATCGATCGCAAATGTTTGGCTTTTTTGGACGAACATAAAAATAAGTGTAAAATAGCAAAATAAGTAAAGCAAGTAAAGTTTATGTGCACTGTTATTAGTTCTTATACAATACAATATTTTAAACTACTAAAATATCAATAAAAGTCACTTGGTTAAACTGTAGAGTTGAACTTTTTAACATCAAAAGTCAACAGAGCAGAGATCAACATCCCATAATGCAATTCACAACCATAAATAAACAAAACATATGGTATTTTTTTACAATGTAGTGTCAATTGTACATTAAAATAAAGTGTGACCAATAGCATTTCTCACAATGCACCCAAATACAGAAATGTGTGTGTTGTCAGACTGATTCCTTTCATAGTTTAATAGGGATTTTTTTTATCTGCATGTGTTTTCTTCAGCTGCGGGGGGTTGAGGTCTCTCGGGCATGGCAATAATTGATTCTGGCTAAAAGGGAAAAGGTCAAACATGATCTGAAAATAAATGTCTAAACTGAAAATGAACAAAAACACTATCAGGACACAACAAGCAGCCGACCAAGCTATAGCAAATGCATTTAAACAGATTACACAAGATCACATTTTGATTTATAGCTTCACCAAACATTAACGTAAAGTGATATACTATAGAGATTAGTATAAGATTTACTCATTTAGATCAAACAAGCACAGCATAAGAGCGTAAATCTTGTGATCATCCTCAGGGGGGCAGAGTGAAATCTAATTAAGATAGATTTTAATTATGATACATTGTTAAGAAGTTCAAACTAAAGAAACTGCCTGAATTATGAGAGTAATAGTCATACTACTTGGGGCGGCATAGTGGCTACACAGCAAGAAGGTCACTGGTTTGAGTCCCAGCTGGCCCAGTTTTTGTGTGGAGTTTGCATGTTCTCCCCGTGTTGGTGTGGGTTTCCTCAGGGTGCTCTAGTTTGCCCCACAGTCCAAACACATGCACTTCAGGTGAACTGAATAAGCTAAAATTGGCCATCGTGTATAAGTGTGTTTGTGTATGGATGTTTCCCTGTTCTGGGTTGCGGTAGGAAGGGCACCCGCTGTGTAAAACATATGCTGGAATAGTTTGGTTCATTCCGCTGTGGTGACCACTGAAATAGAGACTAAGTCGAAAGGAAAATGAACGAATGACTTGTTAAGACACACTCAACACCCTCTGAATGTCTTGCATGTGTGTGTTTGTTACCTTGGCCTGCTCGACAGGTGTGTCAAGTGTCTCTCTGTACACCACAGTGAAGGAGATGCTCTTTGGCTCGGAGGAGAAAACCCAGCTGATGATGGGTCCGCGGTCGCCCACTGTGATGGGAATGGTGCTGTAACAACTGGACTTGACAAACAGCTCACGGGAGCCATCGCCGAAATGAGGAATCTCATCTATATCCAGAGGCACAGAGGCACTGCAGAAACACACGCACAGATTCAGAGGAAACAATAATAGTGGAGCGTAATCAGTGTGTGTGTGTGTGTGAATAATAACTTTCATTTTTCAGATTTTGATTGTAATGCAATAATGTTCGCCTTTTGTAAAGCTGCTTTCTAACAAAATTGATTGTGAAAAGCGCTATACAAATAAACTTGGATTAAATTGAATTGTTTTGTGTCTGCACTTACTAACCTGAGCTCTCCTGACTTGAGGAGGGTGATTTCTGCATCCTGTACTGAAATCATGTCTTCCTGTTCTTCAGACGTCACGTCACTTGATACGCTACTGTAAAAGACAATAGGCACATTGTTATGTCCTTTTAGATGTTAATAATAAACTAAGAGTATTTTGACATAACATATAATAGTTTAGGGCAGCACTGTGGAGCAGTGGGTAGTACAATCGCCTTACACCAAGAAGGTCACTAGTTCGAGTCTCAGCTGGATAATTTGGCATTTCTGTGTGGAGTTTGCATGTTCTCCTCTAGTTGGCATGGGTTTCCCCCACAAGTCCAAAGACATGTGGTACTGGTGTTCTGGGTAGGCTAAATTGTGCGTAGTGTATGAGTGTGAATGAGTGTGTGTGGGTGATTTCCAGTGATGGGTTGCAGCTGGAATGGCATCCGTTGCATTAAACATATGCGTTGTGTAAACCACAGGCACATGTCGGTACAACTATAAAAGAAGATGCTTCAATCCCGGTTTGTGCGTTAAATCAGGTTTATTTTAATACAATGGATACTCGTACAGCAGTGGAAATTAAGTTTAGTTAAATGTGCACATTGTGTTTGTGCGTGAACTTCGTAATGACATTGTGTGTGACTCATCATTGCAGAAAGGCTTGAATTAACTCCACAACAAATACATCAAATAATCATTGGGAAAGTTCTTACTGTAGTTTTTCTCACAAATGTTATGCGAGATCTGCTTCCTTCATGTCTGTCACTGTGCTGTTTATCTGATGCAGCGGGACATGGAGACACACGTGAGAGCCTTATGGAGTGATCTCTGTTGCTCTGACAGGCATGTGGGAACGGTGTGTGGGGAGAACTAGCTCATTTGCATTAAAAGCACAGGCAACAAAACAGCTACAATGTGCTCAGAGCAGAAAATTCCAATATTCTGAAAGGTTTAATAAATAATCTAATGGGTGCTTTGAGCTGAAACTTTACAGACACATTCTGGAGACACAAAAGCATTGTTTTAAATCTTGAAAAAGGGTGCCCTAACATTAACTAATGTTAACAAAGTTAAATAAATACTGTAATAAATGTATTACTAATCGTTTGTCTGGTCAGTAAATACATTACCTTATGGACCATTATTTTGAAGTGAACCATATTATTTTTTATTTGAATGTTATTTTTGGTTATTGTTATTTTGTTTTTAACATTTCTATTATTATTAGTTATTACTTTAAAGTAAAATTAACAAATCAAATCAAAATAAGAAATATATACATGCATTCACACATACAGTCAGCAAGTTGAGCACCCACCAGACACACTAGAAGGCACTCTACACATCACATCTGCCACTGAACCAGACTACATATCCCAACATGGTTCCAGTTCACCATTGATTACAAACACACAGCTGAAGCTCATGAGGACTGATTACCATGACTATAAATACACCTCACTCACATACACACTTTGCTGAGTTTTGTTAAACTTTTGGGTGCATCACGAAGTGTTATCCTTGCCTTGCCTTGTCGTGTTTTGCCCTTTGCCTTGTTTTTTGTTGAACTAACACAGTTTCATGGACTGACACAATTCTTCTGTTAAGCTGCTTTGACAATCTACATTGTAAAAGCGTTTTAGAAATAAAGATGAACTGAATTGAATTTGTTCATGTTGTTTTGCCGCCTGTCCTTACCATTTGTCTGTTTTTTAGACGCTTTTGGATTACCTTAAAGCTCCTGTTTGCTCCTGTTACGACCTTTGCCTGCCAGACGATTTACTTTAATAAAGCTGCATTTGGATCCTCACCTCTTTTATTAACCTGACTCATTACACAGACACAAACACCATATAAATATAAATAAATACATATATAAATATGCACAGCGTGTGTGTGTGTGTGTGTGTGTATATATGTGTGTGTATATATATATATATACATACAAATAATTTTAGCTTTATTTTGATTTTGCTTTGTTTTAAAACTCAAACATTTTATTGATTGAGGTCCTTCACTTTCTTTACAACATTGGTCTTTGGATTTACTACTTTGGATTGTATTCTTGTGCTGCTTTGAAATAAAAAGCACTAGTCACGCTTGAGGGGAGAGAGGCATAAAAACAAGACGTGTTTCAGAGATGACGCTAATTGAATTCTCAATGAGATATCAAGAAAAACAGATAATGCCTGTGTGAATTGTCTGAACATCAAAATATAAAGAGCGCACATAAAATAAGGGTCAACAGAAGTGCATTTCTCACCTGCTTTTTGATTCTGCTGTTTAATTCAGCCCAGACTCACACACAAACAGATGATAGTTTCTCGTTCGCTTGCTTCAAGTCTTATTAAGTCCTTAAGGTTTGTTAGGTAATTCACTTCAATTTACAAATGCAAAACAAATAGTTCAAGGCAAGACGCAGACCGCTGAGCAGAAGACACATTAGAGAGTGTATGAGATATTCTGGAACTTGCTTTGTTGCTAGTTTGATCCAACATGCGGTTCGCTGTGGATGAAATGATTCGCATAATCAAACAGCTGCAGATGGGACTAAACTTACCCCTTGACATGAAGTGGAAATGAAATGGCTGATCCGTGAAAGGTGCTTTACAGGCCGATTCACGCTGCAGCGACAGACGCCAGCCAATGCACACAGTCCACAGATTACAGCCCTGAAATCCTCAGACATCTCAAGTACAAATTCAAGAGAAATAAAGCGCTGTGTTATCCTTAAAGAGACAGTTCACTCAAAAATGAATATTTCACTCTTTCAAACTTTAGTCTGTCATATTATTGGATTAATAATAATATTAATTAACAATTCCTTACATTTATATAGTGATTTTCTAGATACTCAAAGTGCTTTACACATTTTTGGGGGAGAAATCTCCTCATCCACCACCAGTGTGCATCATCCACCTGGATGACATGATTGCTGCAGACCGCACACCACACACCAGCTGATTGGTCGAGAGAAGAACATGATTAGGAGGTCATGATGGGCAGAGGCCAGTGTGCTGGGGTAAACCCCTACTAATTTTCAAAGGACATCCTGGGATTTTTTTAACGACCACAGAGACTCAGGACCTCGGTTTAACATCTCATCCGAAAAATGGCCTTCACTGAGCAGTGTAGAGTCCCTTTCACTATACTGGGGCGTTAGGACTCACACAGACCACAGGTTAAGTGCCTCTTGCTGGTCTCACTGACATCACTTCCAGCAGCAAAGCTTTCCAATGTGCTCTCCCTTCCAGGTACTGACCGGGCGCAACCCTGCTTAGCTTCAGTGGGCGACCATGTGAGAGTTGCCGAGCTAGCTGCCGGCTGCCGAAGTTCAACTTTGCATGTTCTAAACAGTGCTTTCTTAATGTTAATTTTCATCCCCATTGCAGACTATTCCAGGTTTGCACATTGCGATATTGATGCTGAAATGATATATGGTTCAGCCCTAGTGTAAATATTTGGCAGACATTATGATCATATTTACAAGTTGATTGCATTAGTGGCACTGTAAAAAGTGACACGCCACACATGACATGCGACGAGAGTACGCAGCCATTAAAATCTTCCACTAGATTTCCTCTCCCCCTAAAGCGACGTTCACCCAAACAAACTACAACAAAGTTACGAGGGGAATAAAAATAAATATATAAAAAATGGACCTACCTTCGAGCAGTGTTGTTCCTTCAAGAGAAGTTTCACTTCACATCATGCTTAACCAGTAAACACAAACGAACTTCAACAAATTGAAAAAAAAATAATAATTTCACACGTTTGAGAGACGGACGAGCCCCCAATTGTTACGTTCCTACAAAAGTCTAGAGGGTAAAACTAAATAAATAGGAACAAACAAATAAAAAAAGAGGGGAGAGTACTGCCTCCAGACCCAGAATCATCAGACAACACATTCTTAGTCAATTTTCTGATCACCATTAGGCAATAGTTGATTTATATTGTTATCAGAAGAAAATACTATATATCTTAAATGTTAAAAAGCATAATGCAAAACTAAAATAATACCTCAGAATATGACAATCTAAAATAGCAAACAAAACAGTCCAGTAACTAATTTAAAGACAAACTTACTTCCCTAACAAAATAAACGTTCCCGAAATAAATAATTTTTTATATTTATTTATTTTTTAAAGACACCCCAACACCTTACTTATACCGTCATAAATTAATTCACATTATAAAAGTAAAAAAAAAAAAAAAAAAAAGTAGCGCACAAGTCACAAGCTCCTTGTGTCTGGGACTGGAGCAGCTCAAGTGAGATGTCTCCCCTCTCTCTTGGTCTTCTGGTTGGCTGCAGCCAGTCTATATAGCAGAGAAATTAGCTGCGCAGATTGGAATCAGGTTGCAGCAAACAAAAGAAATCAGGAATCAGAAAAAAACACTAAAAATAGAAACCAAAATAAACAAATCACGGAACATAACACTTGTTAATAAAGGCTTTTTAATTTTTTCATTTACTTTTTGAATGCCTTTGCCTTATAATTTTGTTGTTTATCTTTATGAATTTCTTATCCAAAGAGCATCGACACATTAATTACCCCAAAGCGCTTTTTGTTTGATATTGGATTTTAAAATTGTATAAAAATTTGAAGAATATTTTGAAAGTTGGAAACCTGTAACCACTGACATCCATAGCATTTGTTTTTCCTTCTGTGAAAGACCAGTGCTTAACGGTTTTCAAATTTTTTTTTTTTCAGAATATCTTCTTTTGTGTTCAAAATAAAGAAACGTATAGAAATGTAGGCCCAATACCAGTTCTACCCCTTTAACCCTTCCCCTTACCCCTACCCCTCGTTTTTCGCTTTCCCTGGGAAGGGGTGTCCCAATTCTCTTTAGCTTGAAGGCATAGGGCTAAGGGCGAGGGGTTTACACCCCTTCATACAAAGATTTTTCAGGACAACTCACGAAACCAAGGGGTATATAATGTTAATGTTGTTTTGGTGTGTTTTAATTTTAAAGTTACGATCTTATTACCACATTAGATTGTTATGATAATATAATACAGTTTATGCCTTCAGTGATTTCCTGAAGATAAATGGCAAAAACAACAAATCTGGAATCACTACAGCCGTCGCCATCGTCTGATCTCATATGAAACAGGAGATCGCAATGACATTTGATGACATGTGCAGGTGCTTTAGTGCTGTCCAAATTCTTGGGGGTGAATTTTGAAGCCCTTCCCCTTCACCCTCTGTTTTAAGGGCCAAGGGGAAGGGGTAGAAGTACAAAAATAGAATTGGGATTGGGTCTTAGAACCACTTTAGGCTGAGTAAACGGTGAGTAAATATACATTTTTGGGTGCACTATCCCTTTAATTCACAACCAGTCTTTACTCATTTTTCTTTTCAGAGATAAGGACGCTCTGTGGCAGAAGTCTGATGCTCTAGAGTTCGAGCAGAAGCTAAGAGCAGAGGAGCAGTGGTGGCTGGTGGATAAAGAGGCCACACACTGTCTGGGCTGCCAGGGTCAGTTCACATGGTGGCTGCGGAGGCATCACTGCAGGTGGGCACATTCATTAACATCTACTCTGAACTCAAGTGATCACTCTCACCGTTAATCTTATTTCATTACAATGTGAAGTTTTGAAGACTTCTAGACAAGATTTTTATACTCCAAGCACTTTGATGATTGTATTAAAACTTATATCCCCAGTAATTATTGTAAGTTATTTATAGATATGATAATAAATGGCTTGCTTGACAAAGCCTGTTGGTAATAGTTTATTTAGTTTTAAACAGTTTGTAAAAGTATGAATAGGTAGGTAGGTGGACGGACAGACTGAACAGACAGACATAATTAACTTAGCATGAATTAGCTTTTTATTAAGTTTTAGTTTTAATTTGATTCTAGCATGGATTAGTATGTTATTAGCATGTTTTAGTACAAATTAGCATGTTATTAGCACGATTCTAGCATGGATTAGCATGTTTTATAGCATATTTTTAGTACAAGATATAGCATGATTCTAGCATGCAGTAGCATGCTATTAGCATGAATCTACATGCATTGGCATGCCATTAGCATGATTCTAGCCTGAATTAACATGTTATTAGCATGATTCTAGGACAAATTAGCATGTTATTAGCATGATTCTAGCATGAATTAGTATGTTATTAGCATGATTCTAGCATTAATTAGCATGTTATTAGCATGATTCTAGAATGGATTAACAGGTTATTAGCATGATTCTTGTAACAATTAGCATGTCATTAACATGATTCTTTGATTCTAGGATGAATTAGCATGGTTTTAGCATGTCATTAGCATGTTTCTAGCATGGATTAACATGTTACTAGCATTATTCTAGCATGAATTAGCATGTTATTCACGTGATTCTAATATGGATTAACATTTTATTAGCATGGTTCTAGCATGAATTAGCATGTCATTAGCTTGATTCTAGCACGGATTAGCATGTTATTAACATGGTTCTAGCATGAATTAGCATGTTATTTGCTTGATTCTAGTACAAATTAACATGTTATTAGCATGATTCTAGTATGAATTAGCATGTTTTTAGCATGATTCAAATACATATTAGCATGATTCTAGCATGAATTAGCATGTTATTAGCACAATTCTAGCATGGATTATCATGTTCCTAGCATGATTGTAGTACAAATTAGCATGTTATTAGCAAGATTCTTGCATGATGCCATTTGGCATGATTACGTATAACTAGCATAATTGGCATGTCACTAGCATGTTAGAATTATTAGCATTTGATAGCACAGCTAATGACAGTCTATGGGACAGTTGCTAGGGTGCAGTATCTGGTAGTTAAGGTGTGGCTATAAAGTTAAAAGGTCATCAGTGATTGGCTGCTGGCTAGACTGAGTTAAATGAGCTCATCCATTAGTATGACAGTCTGACGGGAAGTTATGAGCTCACAAAGTTGGATCTAATGTTAAGTCAATTACAGTTTTTGCAATGGAAGTCTGTCTACGGGACAGTTGCTAGGGTGCAGTTTTTGGTAGTTAGGGTGTGGCTAGAAAGTTAAAAGTTATCAGCAGTTTGGTAGTCTGAGTTAAATGAGCCCAGTTAGACGTCTGTGTGACAGTCTGACGGAGAGTTATGAGCTCACAAAGTTTGGTCCAATGTTAAGTCTATGGGATTTTTCTGACGGGCCCTGAAAGTTTTTTCGAAAACCGAAAGCCGGATGAGTCAGAAGCTTACAGAGTCCGAATAGTTTGAAGGTCATAGCTCAAAAGCTCTAGGAGGAAATGAAGTCAGAATTTTAATCTCGGACATTTACAAATATGATTATTTGTACCTGCTTTACTTGGGTTGTGTTTTCTGGCAGGTTGTGTGGCCGTATCTTCTGCTACTATTGCAGCAACAATTACGTGATGACCAAAAACTCAAAGAAGGAGCGCTGCTGTCGAGAGTGTTACACACAACACGGCGCTGTGGTGGAGAGATTCACCAAAGCTGAACTCAACAGCTCATCAGACAACCAGCCATCAAACACTGCCGCTCAGCTGCCACCGCCTCCATATATACCCACACCAAGAGTTACAGGTACAAACACATCACAAGTGTCCAATTAGAAACTGCTAGCAAATTTAAAAAAAGAAACAAAAACTAATACATTGATACAGAAGTATAAAGTAGAAAAACTGAAATGGTGTATTTACTATAATCATACTGGAACAGTAGTTTGGCCCTTTCGCTGTGTCTCATTTCTGAGGCTGCATCTTTCGAAGGGCACTATGTCACAAGTCTTATTTCACACTAATTCGAAGTCTTCATTTGACTTGGATAGGGCTGGGCGATATGGGCCAAAAAAAACATATCTCTGTATTTTTAGGAGGATATATATAAGGTATTTTCCCATTAATGGTTACTTGAGAGTTAAAGCCTTTATTAAAACTTTATTAAACATTTTTTTTGAGCAAAATAATATTCAAACACAGGGGTTTCCCTCCCTGTTATTATCATTATTATAATTATCATTCTTATATTTTTATTTGCTGAAAGAGCAGTTAACAGCAAGATATTAAAATGGAAAAAGAAATGGTTTTAGACAAATGCATGTTTTTTTTATTTTACTCTTGTTTTTTAAATTTTAATAATCGTTTAAACCACCAAACGTTTGTACACTGTAGGCACACACACAAATCAAATCCCGTCTTCCAGTTAAGGGGCTAAAATAAAAAAACTAAATAAACAGAAAAAGTAAACAAAAAAATAAGCAAAAGAAATAAATAAAGAAATAAATAAAGAAATAAAGAAATAAAGAAATAAAATGAATAAATAAATAAAGAAATAAAGAAATAAACAGAATAAATAAATAAAGAAATGAACAGAATAAATAAATAAAGAAATGAACAGAATAAATAAATACATAACTATCATAATAATTAAATAAATAAACAAAAAAATGAGCTAAATAAAGAAAAAAAAAACGAAATAAACAGAATAAATAAATAAATAAATAAATAAATAAATAAACAGAATAAATAAACAAAATAAATAAATAAATAAATAAATAAGCAAAATAAATAAATAAAGAAATAAACAGAATAAATAAATTTAATAAATAAAGAAATAAACAAACAGAATAAATAAATACATTAACAAAAAAATAAGCAGAATAAATAAAGAAAGAAAGAAAGAAAGAAGCACACAGGATAAATAAATAAATAAATCGATGGATGGATGGATGGATGGATGGATGGATGGATGGATGGATGGATGGATGGATGGATGGAAGAACGGAGGATGGATGGATGGATGGATGGATGGATGGATGCCTTACACCAGTGCTGATGTACAGCCACATCGCAATGCTTAAGTAGTGTTATATTGCTCAGAAATTAATGAAATAAAATGCTGTGCATCTGACGTATTAGTTGATGTAAGCTAGTTAAATATGCATATAGGGTGGCATTTGAAGATCAAAACCATATCCATTTATTACAGATGCATTCATGTTGTCAAATGTAAATACAATGAGACTCATAAATAAGATAGCTATCCAGTTAGGATTAGGAAAAATGCATAAAATGAAAAGGTGTAAACCAACCCTTTGATAAAAACTTAAATATTATTACCTCTCATTAACGGCAGCTGTTACGGTTGCTAGGTGACTAGATCCATCCTCTGTTGGCTGGCACTCAGTTTGACCTGTGTGGACTCACCGCTGAAGTTCTCTGAAATGATACACAGCCATTGGCTTTTATAGTATTGTTTTGAAAGTCAGTGGGTGCCAGCAGCCAACATTCTTCAAAGTATCTTCTTTTTTCAACAGAAGAAAGACTCGAGCCACATGAGGGATAATAAATGTGAATAAAAAGTGATGACTGTAAATATTAACTGTGTAAGGCAGCATGTATGCATGTTGCTGATGAAGACAAAGCTTTTTTATTTTGTGACATTTGTTTGAAGTTTGCAGGATAAATCTACAATGAGCTTGCAAAAATATATTAAAAATGAGTTTTTAAGATATTGTGACATGCATTTTAGTTCAGTCAGCAATAAGAACAAATACACAACAAATAAATCAATAAATTGAAGAGAAAATTGATAATAAAATGAAGAGAACTCTTGAAAACACTAAAATGAGGACTGATGTTTGCTCTCCCTCACATTATTTATTTTACTTTTTTATATAGTTAATACTACTAGTTCATATGTTTGCTTCTGTTTAATCTAAATTTCTTTAGTTTTAAATATTGTGACATGCATTTTAGTTCAAATTGACTACAAAAGCATGAGCAATAAGAACAGAAAAACATAGTAATACCTTCATGAGGACAGAATTTTGCTCTCATTTCACACATTTCACATTATTATTAATATTATACATTTGAATAATATTTTTTATGATTTTTTTAATGTTTTTACTTACAAACTTTTACTTAGTTTTAGCCATTTTAATACTTCCACTTTCAGTTAATTGGTAAAGCAATGTGTTTTTATATGATTATTGAAAGAGCGCCATCTTAAAAGTTGCCATTATGTTTTATAATTGTGAATAAAAATGGCGCAGTTTATCCATGTGTATTTTGTTTATAATTAATAGCAAGTGATTCATGAGAACAGCTTTTGTACAACCAAAATTGTTGTCTTTGGGATGACAACATTGAGTATGTTTACATGCACACCAATAATTCGATTTTTATACGATTAAGAGAATACTCTGATTAAGAGTCTGCTATGTAAACAGCAATTTTTGATTGCGTTAATCCGACTAAAGACATAATAGAACTAAACAGAAATGAAATGCGGAGTGTGCTGATTTTAGTCGCATTATTGAAGTGCACCACAGACGTGCAAACACCACAGTCAAACTATTACCGCCGTGTAGGGTTTTCACCACATTTTGCAACAGGATAGTCTATACACACACAGCTGTTTGAGTCGATAAAGTCAGTAAAGGACCACAGACAACTGCATCGCGAAATGCGAAGGTTTTTTTTCTTCATACGGCATGTGGTATCAAACTCCTATTTTCTCCTATTCAATATCTCGTTTGTCATGGGGGGCATGCATGAAATCTTCCTGAATAAAAATGAAAGTGCCGAACTGCAGTTAAAGATGACAAATTAAAAATGAAACACCCAAAATTACTCGAAACTCCAAAGGAAACATGGATAGTGTAGTGATGCAGTGCCATTAATCCAATAATGTGCTATAACATGTAAAACGGGATCGTGAAAGGAACATTCAAAAAGCAACTCATGTAAACACCGTAATCACATTATTGTCGTATTCAGATTAAGGCAAATCATTCCATTACTGATGTCCATGTAGTCGCTGATCAATTCACAACAATAAGGAAATAAATTAAAATTTGAACAGAAAAAGAGTAATAAGAAAATAAGAGAAAGCTTTACATTTTTGACATAACTTACATTTCATATCATTCATTTTATTTATAAATATACATTTATATTTAATATTTATATGTTTACTTTTGTAACTTTTAATTTAAGCAAATTTTTTTTTGCTTCCACCTAAACGTATTTCAGTTAATTGGTAAGGCAACATGATTATTGCAGGAGCGCCGTCTTAAAAGTTGCCATTATGTTTTAATAACTTTGAATAAAAAGCGGTGCGATTTAATTTGACTGTATTTTGTTACTAACGAATAGTGAATGATTCATAAGAACACTTGCAGAATCAGCTTTTAACTAACATTTCTCATGTTTCTCTTTGGAATTTTTTGTGTTTCCACCTAAACTTATTTCAGTTCATTGATAAGGAAACATGTCTTTTATATGGTTATTGCAGAAGCAACGTCTTAAAAGTTGCCACTGTGTTAAATAACTGTGAATAAAATTGGTGGAATTTAATTTGTGTGCATTTTGTTGCTAAAGATTAGCGAGTGATACACGAGAGCACTTGTACAATCACCAAAATTTCCCATGATCCTCTTTGGGTTGACAACCATGATTGATTCACAAGTAAAAATGTAAATAAATTAAAATCTGAGCATATAATAATATTAGTAATAATAATAATAATAATAATAAGAGAAATCTTAAAAAAACAATAACTTAAATTTCACCTCATTCTTTTTTTTAACTTCTATTTTTGTTCGTAAGTTTTTTATTAGAGTTTAGTTTAGGTATAATTTAAACAATATTTGACTGATAAAAATAGTAATATTTAACATGATAAACAAAGTAAAAACGATAATTGAAAAATATCCAACGCTATATATTATGAGTTAACTGCGCAACAATTCTAGAGCAATTTTAGAGGAGAGTGTATGACGTTTAGTTTTACTCCTGGGTATAGCAAATCTCTTATGTCTTTTATATTTTATTATACATCTTTTATTTTTGTATTTTATATGTTTACTTCTGTTTATCTTCAACTATTTCATATAAACATTATCAGAATTTCACGATACGATAATACCTCAGTATGAATGGCACAGTACGGTATTTATTGAATAATTTACAGGAAAAACAAAACTAATGAAAAGACTCGAAAAAAATGCCAAAAGTCTTTATTTACCTTAGCACTGAACATATCAATGACATACAAATTATCCATCTATCTGTAAGTTTCGAAACAGGAACTTCAATTTTTCAATTTTAATAACAAAAAACTATTAAACTATATAAAAAAAAATTAAGTTTGAATTTAGTATTGTTGAAAACTCATCACATTCAACATTTAATCACTCACTCACTTATATAGAGATGGGTTTTTAAGGAAAATTATCATATAACTATAATCTGGTAAAAGCTGGGATCTCTGTGCATGTCCCCTGCAACAGAAAAAAACCCTCTCATTTGGGACTGAGGTTTATGGGACAGAGAGATATGATTTAGCCAAGGTTGACAGCAGTGGGGTAACGTTGTGCATTGTCTTTCCACCACTTGAGAGGACAAGCCATGAGTGAGATAGAGGTCTCTTTGCGGTACAAGTCAATGTCTGCATCACTCTAACAAGTGTGCTGTGTTCTGCAGTCCCCATGACTGTCTTTAGTCGTATTCCCCAACTTATATTTCACCATAGTCTGGCAGTGCCTGCATATTGTTTTTGTCTTTGTCTGTCACCTTTTGTCCTTTTTCGTATCTTTTTAGAAAGAAACCAAAATGCTTCCGCACATCCAATTTAAAACCCGCTTTAGGTTCGATCATTTCCAGCTCTTTTTCTTCCCCGCTTCTAGCAGCACACTCCATTTCCGCATTACTGGATCTGAAGTGAAAACAGACCGCAAAGGATGATGGCTACGCCTAGGCTAATGGGAATTGTAGTTCCCGCTACCTCCCGTTCGCTTCATTCGCCCAAGCAAACGTTTCTCATAAATATAGTTTTGAGTCATGCTCCTACGGTAATATTGAAAAAAATTACTATTGCGGTATGACGGTATTTACAATGTTACATCTCTAGTTTCCACCTAAACTTATTTCAGTTAATTCGTAAGGCTACATGATTATTGCAGAAGTGACATCTTAAAAGTTGAAATTGTGTTTTATAACTGTGAATTAAAGTGGTTTAATTAAATTTGTGTGTATTTTACTGATAAAGAATAGCGAGTGATTCACGAGAACACTTGTACAATCACCAAAATTTCCCAGGATCTTCCTTGGGATGACAACGATTGATTAAATTAAACACCAAACATCAATTCTTTGCTCTTCAGTGTTCTGCATGTCTAAAAACCTTTTAATCTCCTGAAGGTTAAAGAAAAAAAATGGCCAAATTATTCTATCATGTCATATGATATTATTCTTTGTTTCTTTTCTAGTTTTAGTATTTCGAATTTTGTGCTTTTAAATACTTGCTCTTACTCCCAAAAGCATTCAGGTTGTGTCCGAATGCACTTTTGCTATTTTTAGGACTAAAAAAATACGCTCTGCACCTCTGCACATGGTTTAACAGGGTTATGCTTATTCTCTTAATGAGTTATGGGTGTGTTTTGAGCATAATGTGTACTTAACCAATCTGAGTCTCATCTCCCATTCCCCCACTCTCAGTTGTGTCGCACCGTGGCGCATTTGCTATTTACATGGCGGACTTTGTAAGAGGAAAAACTGATGTCACTAGAGAGAAAACAGTTAAACAGACCATCTGCTGTGTAAGGATAAAGAACGAACCTCCTCCAATCGTCCTCTTTACTGTCTCTTTACTTTACTTTTACTCTTTACTCCTTTACTTTTGTAAATAAGGAAACAGTGTTGTACTCACTCCGCTGAAGACATCCATTAGCCTATATATTTAATTTAATAAGCGCAAAGATTTGTTTTAAAACGTTTTCTAAATTCAGTTCTAGTTTCCAGAAAACAAATAAATGAACAAAATAATAATGAAGTTTGGTCAAAAAACTGAGTTATATCCAAACACAAGTCCTACTCTTATGCCCCATATTGTGATACAGACGCCTCCAAAACCCAACAAGTAGACAAATCTAAGCTTGTTTTTATTAAAACAAATATAAATAACATTATACAAATGCAAATTGTTGTGAATAAACTGAAAAAGCCACGCCGAGGTAAAGCATGAGGGCAGTGTTTTTTTTTTTTTTATTTATGTAGAAAATAATACATTTTATAACATTTTAATCCTTTAATTGTTTTCATATGTAAAGATATTTGTGTGTTGCTGTACATCCTGTGTGAGTTAAGCAATGTGTAAGCTTTTGGAACTTCATAGGCACATAACTAACACAGTCAATGTTGGACTTTAGACCTGCTTTTAGTTGGTCAATTATGCCAATCGTGCCCAACATGTCTTGCGCCTTATTGCGCCAGGTGTATGATGGCCCAAAGTTTGTTAGTCATTTTTAGCATTTAATTTAGGTGTAAACTCAACATTTGAAGGTGTTCTCAATAAATGTTTAATTCGCGTGCGTTTTGTGTGAGGAAAGCCAGAAAACGCTACTCATTTAGCTGATTCAATTTGCAATTCCCATCATTCTCTTTTGGAGAAAGACAGAAATAAAATATCATCTAGCTTAAATTACGCACCAAATATCCATCTTCATCTTTGTTGTGTAGCATTAGTGCTAAAAAGCTTTCACAATGAAGAAGTAGAAATATAAATGTCTCTGTTCTATTCTTTATAATATCATATGCTTCAGTCTCGCAAACAGGATCTTCCCAGGAGGTCTTGAGTGAGTTGCTTTTCTTTTAAACGTTTAAATTCAGCAACTTTTTTCATCCATTAAGGCGACCTGGAACTCCTTTAGCGAGCATTAAAAGTTTCTTTTCCGGTAAACTCTTTAGAAAGGTGCTGCCAACATGAGGGTTTTTTATTTTATTCATTCTGAATATGTGAATACAGCGGGTGCGTATGATCGAGAGAGCCGTCAAGTGCTTAAACGCATTGTTCGGCCTGCCATTCATCTTTTGTGTCTGAAGATTGTCTTTGCGAAAAGACTGAATGCGTGAAGAAGTCAGTTCCAGAATGCTAAAGGTCCAGGTTTTATGCTGCTTTGTGTTTAACCTGCGTCTTTGAAACTGAGAGGTGAATTTTGACAGGTTGTGAATTCCTCTACACCGTATCATACAGTGCTGTCATTGATGGATTTCATGTACTGACACAAAAAATAGGCAGTGTATGGCTCGAGTTGGTCTAATGTGAAAATTTAAATGTCAGGATTTTTTTTGTTGTGCAGCTTATGTGTAATTGTTTAAATCATGGTGTAATACCTGGCATGCAATTTAAATTTGCTTCAGAACTTACTGTATTTTTTTAAAAACTATTTACTGTTATTGGTTATATTCCATTTATTAATTCTATATCGGAGATGCCCAATCTAGGGCCTGCGGGCCAAAGTTGGCACATGGTAACTTTTGATTTGGCCCACCAATCCATCTGAGAATGGTTTAGAGCAGTGGTCCTCAAACTTTTTTCATCAAGTACCACCTCAGAAAAAAAATTTCTGTAAGTACCACCACAATGAGCAGTATTGAAATACAGTAGCTTGGTAAGCCCAGTTGCAGTTCTGTACAGTTCAAAAACGTGGCAGATTAATTCCTATTATTAAGAATATTTATTATTGTCATCCACATTAAACATAAATAGTCTTAATTTTAACACTGTACTGTGCTTATTTGGTAAAAAAAAAAAAAAAAAAACACTGAACTGAGCTAAACTGAACTGATCTTAAACACTAAAAACTGAACTGAAACTGTTAATTTACTATGATATTTTTATGTACAGCTGCTTTGACACAATCTACATTGTAAAAGCGCTATTCAAATAAAGGTCAATTGAAGTGAATTAAATAAAAAAACCCGTCAACATTTAAATTGAAATGTGTAAAGGGTAAAAAGAAACGTGCTGTACTTAAATGTAAAGTATTAACATATAGTAGCCAATTCATCAACACCTAGGCTATATGTCATATAATGAATATTGATATATATCTCATATTCATATATAAATCATTTTTGATAAATTTTGAAATATATGTAGCATGTACAAATGACATATTTGATTCCTCCATGTACCACTAGAAGGAAGCCCGCATACCACTAATGGTACACGTACCACAGTTTGAGAACCACTGGTTTAGAGATTATCATTGCAAATATAATGTAACTTTTTAAATGTTTGTTTTATTGTTAAGCTACAAAAAAAAACCTATCTAAATTTAAATATTTCAATTTGAATTATGTAAATTAATCAGATCTAGCATGTAGATATGACGGATAGACGAAAATGCTGAGACTTTATTGAGGGAATCAAGTCAAAGGCAGATTCTGCTTGAACAGTGTATTCAGCAATGACCTCCATTGTGTTGTAAATGTTATTGTTATTATTTCAATAAGTTATAATAAAAAAAGTTATACTGCATTAGTTAATACAGTTCAAATGTTTTCTGTTTATTTTTTAATAATATGAAATGAATTAGGAAATTACCCATGGCAACTTTAGTGTAAACATAGTTTGGCATATTCACCTTTGGCCCATGGCTCTCAATGATGTTTGGTTTTTGGCCTTTCATACGCAAATGTTTGGGCACCCCTGTTCTATATTGATCAACATTGTTATAAGTATGTGATGGCACTTTATCTGTAATTTAAAATCCACTTATGGATTATGCAGTATATTCATGAAATTACATATTTATTTAGTATCATTTAGTTGTTATAGTATTTATTTATGTTTTAGATTAGCTTTTAGTTTTTTATTTTAATTGTGATTTTAGTAAGTACCTTAAAAAGTGTACTTAAGTGTGTTTTATTTATTTTTAAAAAAATTTAAAGTTTCAATTCCAACCTCAAAAAAGCATCAAAACTTAATTATTTATAGTATTAATAGCATTTTTAAAATAATTAAACACATTTTTGATGCTGACTTTTTATTTGTTTTCTCAGTTTTTTTGAGCACCCACTTTATTTATTTTTTACCATTATTATTATTATTATTAGCATTATTTTTATTAGCATTGTTATTTTAGTCATTTTAGTTCTACGTTTCATTTCAATTAAATGCCAGAGCATTTAGAATTTTTATGAAGATTTTTTAAAATTTAATTTAATTTAATTTAATTTTTAGCTTTCTTGCATTTATTAACATTGATTTCCAATCATTTTAGTTACATAACAACAGAGATCAGTTAAATGTTCTCTATATATTCTAAATATTGCATTGTACTCTCTTTTTTCATCTCCTGATGTCATCCTGACGTGTCCTGACATGCAGTTACAGATCCTGGTGAGAGGGCTGATGATGGAGCGTTTGACATTATTACAGACGAGGAAGTGAACCAGATCTATGACAGCGACTCGCGCACCACCAATGGATCACATGAGGAGGAAGGAGGACAAACCGGAGATAAGTAAGTGTGTAAACACACAAAATAATGTCATACAGTTTTATGCAAAAGTTTGGGGACCCCTGATAATTTTCACTCTTGAAAGCCATGACACTTTAAAAATAAAACTAAATTTAAACTAAATTTAAACTTTACTGACTTTATATGTGTTTTCTCAGTTTTTTTTTTGAGCATCACTTTATTTTTTAACATGGTTCATAAAACATATACAGCACATCAGTTTTCAACACTGACGATAATAATAAGAATTGTTTCTTGAGCAGCAAATCAAAAAATTAAATTCTTTCAATAATAAAATGATAATGCAGTTCTTTTTTTAATAATGTTGAGTAATATTTGAAAAATATATTAAATTAGAATAAGTTGTTTTGGATTGTGCAAATTTTTCTTAATATTATGGATTTTTCTTTATTTTTGAACCAATAAATTGAGCCTCTGCAAGGATTAAGGTCTTCTTTCAAAAACCTGCAGACTCCAGACTTTTGAAAAGTAATTTAAACTATACTATGGCATTGTACACTGCCAATATTGCCAGCTTTTATCCTAAATTGCTTCTGATGCACTTATTTGGTTGTTTCAGACAAATTGTTCTGCCATATAAATAAAATAGATTTATGCAGCATACTGTATACAGTCTTTGTAAAAGCACACTTTTATTGTATGTAAAAGTATACTGCATTTATATACCTTATGTTTCGTGTCATTGCTTCACCTCTTCTTTTCAAAATGAAAGAAAAAAAACATTGAAATAGTTCTGTTCTAATGAAATAAATTGTGCTTGTAGTGTTTTCAGCATTGGGCAGTCTATATGCACTGTAAAACCTTTTTCTCTGTAGCCTAGAGTGGCTTGTAGGTATAATTTACAATTTTAACCCAAAGGATGACCGGTCTGTCAGATGAAGAAGAGCTGGAGTCAGATATTCAAATAAATAAAGTTTACTGAAGATAGTTTGCAGTTTCATCGCTAGCTTCAACACTCGCTGTGAGTTCCTAGGTAGCTCTTAAACTGCATCTTACATATGGGTGTTCTAACCTGATTGGTTAAAACACCAATAGACTAGGAAAGTTTCCAAGTGGGTGTGTGCGTACAATTCTGAACAATATCGCAAGCATATAAACAGACATACACTAGACTGTTTTGAGCTTACCCCAGACCTGTGAAAAGGATCCACAATCAAATAGAACACACACACACTTAAAGTATCTTAATCTGTTTCTTACCCAAGGCTGACTGTGCTCTTAGCCGTCTTTATGAAAACTGGTTAAAAACCAATATAATCTACATTCATTCAGTTATATCCTTACTACGCAAAGTCTATCTTGAATAAAAAAAGTAAAATCACTTTAAACAGTATTAACACATAATAATAATATCAAAACATAGCAATACAAATAGGAAAACAGTTGTATAGTTGTTCCATGACCTCTGACCTAGTTTGGTGGCTCCTGAGAATAGAGTTACGAAGAGGCAGGCAAACGCACTGAACATTCTTATATTAAGCACTGCGTTCACTTTATCCGTTATTCAAATAATCATATTAAGAAAGTAATGAGAAAAAGGATATATGTTAATCCATGCTGGGACGGATTGGAAGGCAAAAATCCGAATCCATCAGGCTTTTATTGACATTTTTAATACTTACAAAATATATATTTTCAGGAATAGTTATGTTTGCTTACAATACAAAATGAATTCAGTGTTTTTTTTATATACATATGACTCTTTCCAGAATTACTGGTATATTTCAAGCGTTTTTCATTAATTTTTCTTCTACTGGAATGATATATAAATGTATAATCTACAGTAAACTTAATGTAAAATAATGATTAAATGTTAGATACTGTTACTAAATGTTGTTTAACTTATTGTTAACCTTTTTTAACCACTAACAGAGTTGACGATATCACATTTTTCACCATTTTGTTCTTTAGCTCAAAATGCTAGCCTCAAACCTGATACTGGAATACATAGCATGTCTAAAACAGAGAAATTTATGTATTTTCATCTACTTATTGTTTTTAAATAATGAGAAAATCACTAAAATTGACACAGTTTCACCACTGTTGGCGTATCCTATATATTTAGTTTAAATAAATGAGAGAAGATTTGACTAAATTTGTCAAAATTATATTATGATATAATTTAATTTTATCATAATAATTCTATCATAATAATTAAAGCTGAATATATGATTTAGAAGGCATAAACACACAAAAATAGGTACAGTGAGAAACTTTAAAGGGCACCTATGATGAAAATCCTCTTTTGTAAGCTGTTTGGACAGAGCTGTGTGTAGCTATAGTGTCTCCACAGTCATATTTTATCCGTTTATCCGTTTTATCCTTTGCTTTGGTGTCATGGTTTGGGAATCTTTCTGTCAAGAATAAAAACTCACTAAATCAAATAGTTAAGTGGTCCAGTAAGCTGACCGGGGTGTCACTAGCCAATCTAGAAGCTGTGTACACTAGGCAGCTAAAGAGAATTACAAATTCAATTTTAAATGACACTGCTCATCCCCTACACTCGAGTTTCAGCTCCTTTCCTCCGGTCGTAGGTTTCTAGTATTAAGCTGTAAAACGAAACGATACAAAAGTAGTTTCATGCCAGCAGCCAATAGACATTTAAATAAGGCATAGACTAAAGCAGAAATGTTTCGGTGACCTGTATATTTTAGATCATTTTAAATATTTATTTGGGAGAGGGGGGGTGGACACTTAAAGTGATTATTTCTTTATGTTTACATTTTATGTCTTAATGTGCATTTGTTGTTGTTACTGTGTGAGTTGCTTTGTGTGGCACTGTTGTGAGATGAGGACTCTTGACTGCAAACCAAATCTACCTTCGGGTATAAATAAAGTAACCTACCTACCTATATTGGAGTAATAGAAACACAATAAGTAATTTATTTGGTCCCTTTTTATTAAGTGTCCTTAACTACTATGTACTTGCATCAAAAAATAAATGCAATGTACTTACTGTGTTCATAATGTATTTGAGAACACTTGTGGTGCTCTTGAGTTGGGATAAGGGTTGGGTTATGGACGGCTTTGGTGGTGTGGGTAGGTTTAAGGGTGAGTTAAGGTTTAGGGAATGGTCAGCATTGTATTTACAAATGTAATTACAGAAGTTAATTAGAGATGTAATTACATACAGGTATTTAATCAAGCATACGTAGACAATAAATACATGTATTTACACAATTAGTACATTGTAAAAAACTATTATCTCCTGTGTAAGTGCATATTAGTTAAGGCCACTTAATATTAAGTGGGACCATTTATTTTTAGAATTTCCTGACGTTAAAATAGGATCCAAATCCCTCCCATTTTGTGGCCCACCACAACTTGACATAGAGTGCGGTTTACCCACCCACCGAATTGATTGTGTATTAACATGTATTAACAGGTCTCTGTAGTAACGCGTATAATTATATCAACAAGACAGGATGTGTTCAAAGCAACCGGGATTAACAGTTCTGTTAAGCTCGCTGTGATCATCTGCACCTCAAGAATAAGTTTAAAACTTATTTAAAACAGTGCATGTTTATAATAAAGACGGTGAAATCGCTGCAATTCTTCACCACAGCTGCGTGTCTATACAATTATAAAAGAAGACGCTTCAATCCCGGTTTTTGGATGTTTAATCAGGTTTATTTTGTACATTAACATAACGGATATCCATAAAGCAGTGGATATTAACATGTATCCTGTCACATTTGCGTGCAAAAACAGTGCAAAGTTAAATGCGTGTGCTGTGTGTGTGTGTGTGTCCGCTGTTTCTGTGTGTGCGTGAACTTTGTAACAGCATTCTGTGTGACTCATCCTCGCAGAAGGGCTTCAATTAACTCTACAACAAATACATCAAATAATCATTGGGAAAGTTCTTACTGTAGTATTTCTCACAAACGTTATGTGAGATCTGCTTCCTTCATGTCTGTCACTGTGCTGTTTATCTGACTCAGCCGAGGCGGAGATTAAGGCATACTCTGACAGGCATGTGGGAACAGTGTGCGGGGAGAACTAGCATTAAAGACACAGGCAATAAAACAGCTACATATTGTTCAGAGCAGAAAATCCCAACGTTCAAAAAAGTATAATAAATAATCTGATAGGTGTTTTGAGCTGAAACTTTACAGACACATTCTGGAGACACAAAAGAGTTGTCTTGAATCATGAAAAAGGGGTAAGTAAGTATTTTCAAGACAAAATCTCCCTAAATACACATTCAAACTATTTTTTTTTTTATTCAAATTGTTGATTTGTAGAGGTAAATGTAAAAATCAAATGTTGTTGGGAGTAGAGATTCAATGATGCATATCACAAGTGCAATTATTTTGAAAACACCCATATAGCTACACAGACAACTTTTAGAGAACATACACTGCAAAAAATGCTGGCTTTTACACGATCTATTTGTGTTGAGGCAACATGAAGGACTTAAGTTAACCTATTAGTGTTTACATATTTAAGTGGATTGAACACAAAACAATGAAGTTGTCCCCAAAAAAACCCTCAAGAATTGTGTTGTTTCGGTTCATTTTAAATAAGACGTCTGAACAAACAGCAAACATCACTTTTGAGTCTGTATTTTCTTTACAGTGTTTAGCAATTAACATAAAAGTGTTTTAAAGGGTCACGAAACACCAAAACACATTTTTTGAGTTGTTGACAGTCTATTTTTTGTTGACAGTGTTTTTTTCTAGAAAAAACACTATTAGGACACATTACACTAAAATGTGAAAATTGGCTGTTTTTGCGATATTTCGAGCAAATTTGTACTTCCGGTTTGAAAGGAATTTTTGAAGCTGTATCACGGCCATAAGATCATGTATTCCAGCGTGTCGACTAGACGTCTGTACCTGGGAGTACCTTATTACATCTCTGAGTGTGCTGCATTTATTTATGAGTAAGACTTGGTTCAAACCAATCAGCATGCTCTATTGTGTATGCAGTGCAACCTCATTAATATGCATGCTAGCTTCGAAGACTGTTGTTACCCGTTA